TTGGATAGTTTGCCTTGGTTCATTTGAAGAAAGAGGAGATCAAAGTTATATCACTATAGTATTTCAAGATGGTGAGCATTGTGAGGGAGGCCATGGTTTTTCTATTGGGTGTGCTCCTGCTTGATTGGTTTACCCACCATTCCTTAATAGAATCCTCGAGGTGCCATTTCGAAGTGTAAGGTTTTCTAGATTGTGGCACTCATTGACCAAATTCCAAAGGTGTAGGGTGAAGGCACACTTACCAAAAAGGTGCAACCCGGACTCTTGTTCCCTTTTGCAGAGATCAGAGAACAACAAAGCAAGGACAAACATGATTCCTTGTTTCTTTTCATTTAGTTTTTTTTAGCCAATTCTTTTCATTTAGTTGAGAAAACCATTACAAGTAGTAGTGTACGGACTAATTAAAGGCCGAACTAAGTGTACATTAAACGCTCTCCACGCACACCGTCATGACAAAAGGAAATATCTGTCCTACACCACCGGGTATGTATATTTTTTCTGATAAAGGGCACTTTTATTAACTCATATAATGTCGCATCAAACAGATACACACATATACATTGTTTAGTCTCTTGGCGCCATGTTTGCTTTTCCTGTGTTGGTCATTATCGTCGGCCACGCGCAGCATTTAGCTCCCGGTTCACGACATCGTTGTCACTGTTCAACCATTTCACGCAGCATGACAGGATACAAATTAGACAACGCTCAAGCTAAACGTCTAGAAAAGTAACCTACAACAGAGCATTCTGAAAGAAAATAGAGAAGCCAGAGCACGAGCAGACCGTTGTTGCCGCCGTGGTGTCTGCTGCGGGGGAGGGTTGGGCTGGTGCAGTTGAAGCAGCTGCCGATAGGGGTTCGTCTTGTCATAATTCACGCTGTCAACGCACAATGATTGGATAGATAACACAGTTAGATAAAGCCAAGTGTAAAATTATACTAGCAAGAAAAGAGAGAGGCTGCAGATTAATTCTCTGGCATCGCATCGTAGGGAGTCAAGTCACATGGTGAGCAAACCTTGCTAGCGAATTCGTCGTGGTAGAGGCTGGCTGGCTGCCTGTCGTCGCCTGCTGAGTGGTGGATTCCACAGGACGACGCAGCCAAAAACCTATGGGCCTTCCGTAATACCACGGTTGACCATCGGACAGAACATGGTCGTTGTTTCTGAGCCCTCCTTCCGTAGCTACGAACGGCGCTCTGCCTGCACCTCCATGCTCTGCCATGTCCGCAGCTTCCCTGACTCCACCGCCGTACAACCACCCCGCTGGGATCGTTCCTCCGGCGGCACCCACGCCGGCTGCAGCCCCCATGCCTCCGCCACCGTACCCGCCCACCGGCAACTGTCGTCTGGCTGCGCCTGCTAACGCTCCTCCGCCACCGTTCCCTCCCACTTGGAACTGGAACTGTCCTCCTACGCCTGCACCCACGGCTGCAGCTCCCCTGGCTCCAACACCACTCCCTCCCCTACCTCCAATCGCACGCCCAGCAGCACCACCGTTCCCTCCCCTGCCTACCATACCTGCGAACCCTCCGCCTGCACCTGCAAACGCCTCCCAACCTCTGAAAACTGGCTCATCTCCTCCTGGCATCGTACTACTCGAGCAGTACTTAGCTAAGGTCGATCGGGAGCTAACCGTGTGCTGGCGCTTTACAAGAGTGTTGAATGATGAGTGAAGAGGCAACGCCTCCGGTGGACGGATTTATAGGATCGACCGTCGCCCGTCACCACGCCGCTTGACCAAATGGAGCCACTTCGTTCGTCATATCATATCCTTTTGGGCGGGCACATATCTATGAGCCTATGGCCCATGAGGCGACGATATCAGGACTAGATCACCGTCACGGATGATCACTCACCTGCCCAGTTGCCAGTGGTGGATCATTAGAATACTTCCCCACAAGCCAAATGGATTACTCAACTAGAACCCTTCTGCTTGGCCAGAGGCCAGAACGTTGTGTGAACTCGCAGTTTCGGCGCCTTGACCCGAGGCCGCGTCGTTGATCCACACCCACGACGCGGCTCAAAGCTCAGCAAGCAGCTGAGTACACAAGCTCCAAGCCTCCAACTTACCCCATACACTACTCCTTGGCCGATTCAGACCCAGTGCATGAAGAAGCTTTCCTTCCTCCCCAGCTGTGCTATTTTAATCAGGAGTGTCATTCAGCCACAGTTTTAAGGCCGCTAAACAGCGGGCGTCACTGTGGACGTAAGCAAAGCTTGGTCGGGGTGTCAGGGTGTGCGCGCCTGTTCCACGGCGGCACAAGCACAGCACCAGTGGCGGCGAACGAGTAGAGCAGCCGCATGCGTAATTCACAGTTTGTTTCCCTTAATGAAAATCGGAGAGTTCCCGAAAAAAAATGAAAATAGGGGAGGATGCTCTCTTTATAAAAAAAAAAAGCGGTCCAAGAACTACAAACACCACTACCGCGGCGGACTCGACATACAGTTTCGTTGTACTTTGTTGTTTTGGTATTATTCTCAAATTCCACTGAGATGTCTCATGAATGTCACTAAAATAGTTCTGAAATTCCAATGAAAAAACATGTCTGTAAGATTTACTTTGTGTTAGAAATCCAGTTCAATGTCTCTCTGGTGCCTGTATAATGGTTTTCTAACATGTCTGTTTTTTAATCAAGTTTATGTGTTTCCCGCATACAAAAAAATTCATGTTTGTGTGAATTGTCTGTGGAAATGGAATGCTTTTGAAATCCATTAAAAGAAGACTAAAGCAACTGAACACAATCAGAATATGTTTTCTTAAATAATTGGACCTATTATTGAAACTTGTTTAGAAATGACTAAAATTGTGTCAATATGTTTGAAGTCGTGTGAAATTGATGCGAGCTTTTGTTGGAAAAAACATGAATTAGATCTAGAAATGTACGAAAATCAGTGAAATATGTCAAAATTGATACTCTCGTTTCCTTTTATAAGGTCTATTATAAAGTTTACACTAACAAATAACAACAGCTATAGTACAAGATCAGTGTTGTGATATTAAGCGTTTTTCTCTAAACTTGATCAAAGAAAGAAATTTGGACTTTGAAAAAAATCAATCACTATAATTTTTACATAATGAGTAATAACATAGAGAGAGTATGTACATGGTTAATAACTAAAAAAATATAACACGTCTATAAAAAGAACAGTTGGAGAATGGTTTATGCCTGAAAAAGATACAAAATAAAACAGCAACAAATGCATGCATAAAAGGCAAGAGTGAGAGGAGTACATTGCAAAGTGGCATGTCATGGTTAATTAGGGGAAAATCAGGCAAAACTGTCACAACCGCTGAATGGGCACACATACAAGTCACATCACCGAAAATCACCACGAAGAAAATATCGCCGACGTTGCAATTCAGTTGGGAGGCAAGAACCGCAACGACGACACCTTCAACAATGTTATGGTGCCCGCAAGCTCCACTTGCATTACCTAGGCCGCATCCGAGTCCAGCTTTCGTTGGTCGTCTCGCCTCCCTAGAGCCTATATAGTTGGTAGGCCTGCCTACACTACCACTAACACCATTCACCTCGCAATAGAGTAGGCCTACACCAGGCCCATCAGATAGCACACACCAGACCAGAAGCGCATGTTGCTAAGTACCATGTCGTGAGCTCGTAATCGGGGTCGCCGCAAGGTGGGCCATCGCTCACATCTCCGGCATCCCGAGCATCCAGGGCTGAGGCGCGTCACCAAAACACCTCGGCTACCAGGATCTAACCCCAAACTGGGGGCAATAGGGACGCCAAGTCAAGGCGCCGCACCAAAATCCCACGTCTCGTTGTTGCAGGAGTAGCTCTGCTCGTCGCACCGCCTGAGCCACCACAACTCTGAGGGAGGGCTTCGATGCCGGGACGATCGCTGCATCTGCCTTGAATCGTCGTGCAAGAAAAATTGTGAGAGCTTTCCCCATCGCCACTGTTCGTGGCACGGGCTTAGCCCAAACACATCTTTCAGCGGCAGCGAGAGGTTGCAAAGGGGAGGGGTGGCTACGGCTGTCGGCTAAGGTTCCCCTCGTGTCCCTTGTGGGAGTAACGCGAGGTCGGGAGAGCTTTTTTCAGAGGGGTTTAGTGTTGTAAAACAGTTAATTCTAAAGACATGAGCGGGTTCAAAATTTCAACAATTTTTACATATTTCGGCAATTTTGTATGGTGCCAAAATATTTGGAAACTCTAAATTTCAGATCAGGTTCACTAATTCCAGCTCAAATGCAAATCCAATGAAAATTAATCAAATTCAAGTACATTTTGATAGATCAAATCCCGTAATAAATTATTTTTTGAAACAAGGCAAAAGATTTGCCATTTTCATTAATTAAGAAGAAGATTAGACATAGTTCCACCAAGCGGGAGAGTATAGATCACTCTCGCGGCATAATATTACACAAATACTTCGCACCCGCACGAGCCCAAATAGAGGCCTCATCTTTAATCTTGGTAATGACAACGGTAGTAGGGGCGGCGCTGTTGCGGAAAACCCTCGGGTTGCGTTCGTTCCAAATTTCCCACGCAACAAGCATCATCAAAGTGCTACGAACCATGCGTGAGTGGCCCCTTTTGTGAGCAACCATGTCCCAACAAACTTCCACCGAGGGCACGAGTCTCCAATCTGACGGATCAATGTCGTGGAGGCCAAGCCAAGTCTTGATCTCCGTCCACACTCTCGCTGTGAACCGACACTGGAAGAGGAGGTGAGCCGCGGGCTCGTGAACCTGCTTGCAAAGAAGGCAAAGGTTGCAATTCGGCCATCCCCGACGCTGCAATCTATCGGCGGTCCACACTCTGTTATGAATAATCAACCAAATTTGTTGGGAAATAAACCGTAATAATTTTCAACATTTCACCGAATTTGTTCCGTTAACATAACTTAATATCCTGGACAAGAGAAATAAACTCAGAAAGTCCCATACTTGTTGACGTGACGACAACATTATACTAACATTACTCAGTAAGCTAATTAACTAGACACACACGCCGGTGCAGAGCCACGACTCCCACATTCAACCAGCAGTGCCAAGTGTAGTCGTCGGTGGTGACATGAGTATGTTGAGCCGTCTAGCCGACTTGCTAAACTCCCTGCAAGAGGTGGATTCGACACCGTTGTCAGTCAACGATTCGATGCAATGACAGGGGAATGCGCGCAGAAGAAATTAAGAATCCACAACTTACTCCCACGGCACGTCTCCGACGAGCATCCAGTCCCCATCCCCGTCCTCGTAGGTGACGGCGTATGGATCGCCATGGTGAGAAGTGGAGGATGGGAACATGAGGCGGAGCGTGTGGTGGAGCTGGTGGTAGGAGGCGTGGCGGGACAGGTCCACCTTCCTCCCGATGGGCACCCCTTCCATCTTCACCTTCACGTGGCCGTTGCTGCGCGGACGGTGCCCGATCTTCACCGGCGGCCACCCCACAAGCCTCCTCCTCCTGCACGAATTACACTCGGCCAGGTCAGTTTCACGAAAGAGAAGGGCGCGCGCCTACGTGCATTGCATTGAACACCATCGATGAAACACTCACTTGCTGCCCATCTCCCAGTCGCGAGTGTCGCCAGTGCCGTCTTCGCCGTGGCCGTGGCCACCGTCGTCGTCGTCGTCGCCCAGGAAGAGTGGCAGCGTGGGTTTCTTGATTCCGAACGCCTCCGCCACGCCCCTCTTCCCGCACGAGCCCGCGTGGTTGGGCGGCGCAAGCCCCAGCTCCAGCTCCATGGCGCCGGTGGCTAGCCCTATAGCTAGCTCCTTGTCTTCGTCGACTATTTTCCCTGTACTACGTGATCACAGTCACAGCTGATAACTTGTCCTAAAAGTAGCCGGGGACACCGTGCGATCGATGCGTGCAGTATATATAGGCGCGCGGGGCACCGCGGCCGATGGCTACGTTCGATTGATGGTGACAGTGGAGATCGATCTGGAAATAGTGAACTCGACGTGGGCTCATGGCAGCCGGGGGAGTGGGAGACATGGTGTTGGGGCTCCAGGGGGGCAAGCAGCGGGCGGGCTGCCTGCCTGCCGCCGCGCGGTCGGCACCGCTTGCTCTTGCGTCTGCAGCGGTAGTATATCGAGTCATCTACGCCCACAAACCCTGCCTGCGAAAGAACGGCCGAGTTTGTGGGCGTAGATGTGGTTCTGTCTCTCGGCCGTAGGTGTAGGGTGTGCGTGGTTCCGCAACTGAGCGTGGACCAGGGCCGGTTGCTTGTCGATCATGTGTTTTGCTCAGTGACGTTGTGCACGCGCGCGTCGGCCTCGGCCTCGACACGTACCGGTCCCGGAGTCGCTACTGTCTGCCACTACGGTTACGGTGGATGCATGGCGTGCTAACGTACGTACTGCTCCTGTGGCTAATACGTTCTTCATGCAGATACCTTCATTCAACCGTCAACTAATTCCGGACCAAGAGAATACTTCCTCCGTCTCAAAATAAGTGTCTCAACTTTGTACTACCTCCAATACAAATTTGTATTAAGCTCAATACATTTATTTGATACGGAGATAATAGTATTTAACAAGGCATAGGCATTGTCAAATGCATGATCAAGCTAACACATTCAGGATAGGTACCGTCAAATGCATGGTCAAGCAGGCTAGACACATTCAGCATAGGTACCAGTGCCAATGGTGTCACGAGGCGTGAGAGCCAGATCGAGGGGGCATGTGCGTACGCGTGGGCGTTTCTCTATCAGCCGTTATTTTACCCACCTTTGATGGCTCCTCGTCGTCCACCACATGGACATGCCGCAGCGGAGCGCATGCCCCCAAGTCAAGGAAGACAAACCAGCCATTGCTCCCACTCCATGCTTCGTCCACTCCAATCACAGTTGCGTGTGACGGTGTGCCTGATCTACGCCTTCGATCTGCATGGTCATGGAGCATGGACACCGTGCTTCCCAACGCCGCGCGTTGCCGGCTCTGTCCCAACACCGAAACCAAATTTATCTTTCACGTCCCAACAGTTTGTAAACGTACTACTCCAAGTACCATGGATCAATCTCCGTGTGCAGCTTCTCATGGGGGCAGGACAATTACGCAGGGAGAGCAGTTTGTCCAAACAGTTTTGGTAAGTCTGAGTCGATCTTATATCAATAACATCTTACATTAAATCCGTGCAAAAAAAAACCCAGTTTTTTTTTCTTTTGCATGTTATGTCACTTGACTGAGACTTAGTTAATTCTCAGTCGACTGAGACTTATTCGCACCCATGTAACTCTTTCTCCAAGTACCATGGATCAATCTCCGTGTGAACGACACGATACCACTGGTGGAAGCGCAAGATCGATGCTATTACCGGCATGATTGACTAGCTAGTAGCTTAATTCGTCGGGGTTAGGCACGTCACCTCAGATTGGGTGGCTTAAGTTACCGGTGCATGCATGTGATAAGGGACACGCTAGACTTTTAGAAACACCCGCCCCGATCAGGTTCAGGTTTTTAACTCTCAGCTAGATTGACTTCTTTGTACTAGCTGCATCATGGATCGGCTGGTCCAGTGCACCTTGCGTGCAAAAGATCGAGGACGGTGCGTCGTATCGAGTCCAGACCACCGTTCATCATCGTGAAAACAAAAGTACAGACCACCGACTCGCCAAATACAAAAAGAGCCCAGACCACCGCGATTACGGGAATCGGCAGACAAAGGTAATTAGGAACCAAGTTCAGCGAACTCCAGTCTTGATGAAAAATAACGGTCGGGCTATGATTTTAGCAAGGATTGCGGTGTGGAACACGGTTTTAGCAAGGATTGGGTTGATCGACATTTAGACAGGTGCTTGGGCGACAATGATCACTGTAAAAGACTGGTGGAACATGCTTGTCTTGGCCTCCTTCCTCATGCTACTACCTCCGTCCTGGTTTATTGGTCCCCTTTGTAATATGTGCCAAAATTTGACCAAATATTTAACTAATAAAATATTAATGCATGTCAAGAAAAAATGTATCGTTGAATTCGTATTTGAACATAGTTTTCAATAATATAATTTTTGGTGACATGATGAACATTTTGTTAGTTAAATTTATGATCAAATTTTGGCACAAAATACAGTAAGGATCAATAAACCAGGACGGAGGTAGCAATTTCCTAGGAACTTTGGAAGGAAAGGACGGCAGGGTCTTCTGGAACGTCTCCGCGCCTTCGGTCATCATCATGGACAAGATCCTTGACAAGGCAAGGTTGTGCGCATCTGCGGGTGCCAAGGGATTTGATGTAATCTTGCCTCGCGAGTAGTTGTTTTATTTTCGCTACTTTGTCACTCCTGTCTTCGAACAATGAAACACCTTCTTCATTTCTTTGCTAATTGAAACACCTTCTTCTTAATTAATAAATTGGCAAGTTTTTTACTACCTCCGTCCCGGTGTATAAGTCATTCGCGTAGTTCTAGGTCGATAATTTAACTATCTAAATATGTATTATATGTGACAAAAAAAATATATTTAGAAACTACATCCGTGTGGAAATCTAGTGGTATATTTTTCATGACATATAACACATATTTAATTCCTCAAATCGATGACCTAGAACTACGCGAATGACTTATACACCCGGACGGAGGGAGTACCTCATTTAAAAAAAACAGCAGTCTATGTCTGCCTGGACAAGAAAGCAACCGATGGATGACAGCCTGCATCTTTGGAACCATGCACACGTGTCCTTCAAAAGATGATCGAAAACATTGAAGTTTACTACTCTCTTTGTCCTAGAATAAGTGTCTCAACCAGCCTCCTGCCTCTGTGCGTTGCACTTGCGCGGAATCTCTTCACCCATGGAGAGCGAGAGCGTGCGTAAGAAGTATGCCAGTTCGTTAATTGACTCGTCTGGCCGGCTGGCCGGCACTAGCTAGCTCTTCCCTTAGTTTAGTTAACGGCGGTCACCCGCTTGTTGCGGGGCACGAGAGATTCGGTGGTCGATCGGTCCAGGCTCCATGGATGCTCACACGGGACACAGGAGTAGTGTGTGGTTTGTGTATGTTGGTTTCTCTGGATAATAACCAGGCACATGCTAATGCTTGGTCGACGATGCATGCATACGCGCGTGTCTGCATGGGCGGGGAGACCGGAGGCGGGGCAATGCGCCAACGCAATGCATGTGAGGGGAAGTAGAGTACCTACCCGAGGAGGCGGATCCTCTAACATCCTCAAATAATGTCACGAGGCTACAGTGTAATGCGTGTGTAAAACAAAGAAGAGATGTCAAAGTCACTGTAGCAATCATTATGCGGATTTACTGTAGCATGTATAAAAATAATAAAAAATTATTACACCATATTTTTGTTTATATGCAATGTTTGAAAATGTTATAGTAGATTTGTAATTTGCAAATTAATTATAATTTAATTATTTTAGGCTTAACGTATGGATGTGAAGGAGGGATGCACGTGAAATCCCGATGTTAGAGGATGCGGTTCCCCTACCTGCATGTCCCCAGAGGATAGAAACAAAATTTTAAAACAATTGGAGAAGTGGGGTATCGATCCCCATACCTGCATGTCCCAGAGGATAGAAACAAAATTTTAAAACAATTGGAGAAGTGGGGTATCAATCCCCATACCTCTCGCATGCTAAGCGAGCGCTCTACCATCTGAGCTACATCCCCGTTCATGCCAATGTTTCCCGAATATGTGTCAGGACCCCGACTCGATGTCACATCGATCTAGCCGGTAACACCTCATATCACTTTGCGGCCTCACGCACGGTATCCCCACGGGTGTCGCCTTACCTTTGCCCGGGACCGTTTGCGCCTTTTGGCTCACGTATATGATAGTGTCGCTAGCATCCATATGATAAGGAGCCCGGGCTGACATGACTAGTCGTAAACCCAAAGTGGCACAGACTTACAGGGACAGGCATCCATGACCCAGCATCGAACGTGTCGGTCATCAGCGAGTGAATCCAGGCTGTAGCACTGGGCTAGCAGGACTCCGGTGAACCGGGCTGTAGCGGGCTAACAGGACTCCGGTATTCATCGCGTGACATTTCCCCGAAGGGACAGACACAGGAACGAAGAAGGACACATGCCGGCCAGCCTAAGTGTTCCGGAGCAGTAGCAAGCTACCATGGCTCGGTGAAACACTAGGAGACATTTCCCGGTAAGAGAGGCTACTAAAGATAAACAACTAGATGGTCAGATCCCACACATACCAAGCATTTCAATAACATACACACAATATGCTCGATATGTGCAATACAACATGGCATCACAAAATGACTCTACGACTCAAGTAGTTTACTCAATAGGCTCCGAGGAGCGAGATATTACAAACATGGGTCTCATGACCCAACAATCAGAGCATACAAGTCAAAGCACAAGCGGAAGCTATCATGTCTGAGTACAGACATCTATAAATGAAAAAGGCTGAGAAGCCTGACTATCTACCAGATCCTGCCAAGGGCACAAGATCGTAGCTGAGGTATCAAGCTAAACGTCGAAGTCCATGCGGAACTACTAGCGAGACCGAAGTCTCTCTGCAAAACATAAAATAGGCAAACGTGAGTACAAATGTACCCAGCAAGACTTACATCAGAACTAACTACATATGCATCATTATCAACAAAGGGGATGGTGGAGTTTGACTGCAGCAAGCCAGCTTTGACTCAGTGGCTATCCTGAACTACGACTGCAATGTAACTCTTTTGAGGTGGCGCACACGAGTCCACATATTCACCATATCAATACACCACTATGGATCCGCTCCCGTCTCCCTACGAGAACGCCATCCATA